CATTTTCTCAGATAATTATATTTCAATACATGTTACGTAGAATTTGAAGATTACTTCCACTTCCTGAAAATTTTACATCCTGAAAAATTCTACATATTTTTGTGAAATTGAAATAAATCTAATGCTTACCCTTCTTTGTAAAAAGATATCCCAAATAGCGTAAAAATTTGCAAAAATCTGTAGGAATGCAAAGAGCATTACATACAAAAATTAAAATTACAAAAAAATAACACAAAGAAAAATAAACGCAAAATCCCCTTGATATATATACAACAATATAACGGGAGAAACAAAAACGGGACGCGCATAATTGCAAAATTGTAATATCCTTTTAATTTTTTTTTTATTTACACAGGTGTCTTGTATTCGTTTATTAATAGAGACTGGAGGAAAAAGAAGTGTTTGGTCAAATTCATCCAGCTCGAGATCCGTTATGCTGAAAAAAAAAAAAGGAGTAAAGGAAAAGGAGCAGCGCGAGACAACGGCAGACGAGAACTTTTAAGGTCCATCAACATTTTACGCGAAGTGCATCGCAATAACTGCGTTCCATTATTCACCGCGAGTATTGAAAATCTATAGTTCACGTTTATACAGATTTTCAATACTCACAGTGAATAACGCAGTCAGCAAAGTGGAACACTTTTTTGGAACATTATCTTCTCCTTGAGTGATTTTTCATTGTTTTTCTCAATATATTCCTTTTACTAAAGTTAATTGTAATATTATTTTACATTATTAATATTTTTTTTATTCATCCAATGCTTCAAGCAACTCAGTTCTACGAGCCTACAAGGGACAAAGGTTTCCACGTGTTTGTAACGGAAGTGGAGCGCGCCCAAGAAGCAAACGCGCAAATTTCCGCTTTTTTTTTTTTTTCACGCAGCACCGACGCTACGTGCTGTATGGAATATTCCTCGACATTCATTATTACGCATCTCGTCGTTTCTATTCTCGTTCCTTCTTTCGCTCTCTATCTCCCTCTCCCTCTCTCTCTCTCTCTCTCTCTCTCTTACGACGCCTCGGGCGCGCCCTTTCCGGAGCCGCTGCCGGCGCCTCCACTCGTTCTTGCACCGCCATTATTGCCGCCGGCTTCTTTCGTCAATGGATCCTAATCGCGAATGGAGAATCGCCGCGAAAGATGGGTGTTCGCGTGCGCGGCGCGCCACGGAGAAGCGACGAGGCCGTGTCGTCGAAACGTAGGCGTTCGTTGGCATGCCGATGCGAACGGATTACGTTCCGCGGCGGACCGCACGCCTTCGCCATTTTGTGAGACGCGTGCCCGCCCGCCCGCGCGCGCGCGCGCGCGCGCGGCCCGGCCGCTGTGTCGCGAAGTTATCGCCGATTCGCGCGATCGCCAGACTACAACGCGCCTGAAGTACGAAGCGATCGCGCAATCCGGGACAATTAATGAGCTGCGGCACAAGGGAGCGCGAGCAAGCAAAGACCGGGAGGGAAGTTACCTGTCTTCTTGCGACTCCTGATTGTTCTCTATCATGTTGTTCTCGCCGTTGTTCTCGGCCTCGCCATTCTGCTCCGCGAAGTTTTGCTCCGCGATGTCATCGCTGAAATCCTTGTTCTCCTGATCGGCCATCGCGTCTGCTTTTTTATCTATCGATATTACCCGCGTAAGTTACGATACGCGGCACACCACGATGCACTGTGAGCACAAAGCCACTTGAATAGTCGCAAATTGCTCGTTACGCAGCCGTGCAGCTCGACTGCCCAATGGAGAAGAAAGTGCGGCGTCGTGCGCAGCCCGGAGGTCCTCCCGCCGGCAATTTACGCGCGAGGCATCTCGGGACGTACGACTTTGCCGACCAATCGCATGGCGTCGCTCAGGAGTGTTCGACGTGTCGACGGTACCCCGAGGATTCGATCACGTCAAATTGTCTATGCCAAACGCGATCTAACGTTACGACTTTACGTTAACCTTATGAATAAATGTAGAATGTTTTTTTTTGGAAAATTTGACTCATCGTTAGATTTCTCGATTGATCCCTGCGTGAATGAATACGTGAGTGTTTTCATTAAGCACTCAAAATTGAATGAGTTTCATTCATGTAAACAGCGAACTTACAGCGTTTGTTTTGTCTATTAAATTTTACTGTTGAATCGTTTGTTGTAAATGTGGCGCACGATCAGCCGTAGGTTAATTAAAAACTATTTAACTCATTCAGCTTTTAGATCGAATTCATTGTCTCTTATATTTATTTTGGAAAAATATATTATTGGATATTGAAATTCTTGAAAATTCAAGACTATTAATCAGTAGATCTTTTCATGTTAAATTTGTTTTCTAGATTGTTTTTTTAATGTTTAATTTGTAATACTTGATACTGAATTGTTTCAGAAAAGTAATTTATCATTAGACCGATCTGTAAATAGTGCTGTAGAAAAAGTTTTAAATAAATAAACAATTTTTGTTCGATCAGTAGTTAAAAAGTGGGAGCCAAGAAAAGTCTAATTCTTACGTTCCTGGTTGCGTTTGGATCGATGGTTAGAGAATGCGTCATCAGTGGGGAGAGGTAAAGGAGGGAAAGGAAGGGATGGAAGAAAAGAGACGACGGATTTAGCGCCATACGCATCAGAAATTTCGGTCACGCGACGCGACTAGCAGGAGAGAAACACAGCCAATGAAATCGCCAGGAGACACTGTTCTCGACCATCGACCAATGGAAGATCGCCGAGAATCCCACTCAATTTTATTACGATTTTTCACGTTTATTTACTTCTCAGAAATTATAAAATATCTGGAATATGAGACAAGTGGATTTTATTGTAATATAAATTATTAAAACAATCGACGTAAGGAAACCAATATAGTATTTTTTGTTGCATCTGTTCGTAGATGGCTGCGAAAAAGCATGAGTGCGTTCAGGAATTATGCTCAGATAACTCTTGGGTGCATTTTTACTATACTGTAACGTAAATTGTAGCTTAGAGTTATTCCTGAACGAAGCCCATCTTTCTCTCACAGTGGCGCTGGAGTTGGTTTGGTGCGCATCCTAGGCCGGTATTCATAATCGGTTCTTTAAGATCGTCTTAAGTAATGTCTTAAGATGCTAATGCAGCTGTCTGATTGGTTCATGATACCTCAAAATTGAACTTAAGACGGTCTTGAATATAAGAATTGAATGAATACCGGCCCTAGACACTGCGTATTCAGAAATCAATCAGGACTTAAGCGGATTGAACTTAAGACGGTCTTGAATATAAGAATTGAATGAATACCGGCCCTAGACACTGCGTATTCAAAAATCAATCAGGACTTAAGCGGAGAGCACAGACTTTTGCATAACGTATAAAGCATAAGGAATTTCATTGGTCCATTTTCTTATGCATGAGTCAATGGACCAATCAAATTCTTTATGTATACGGTTTATGCGTTATGCAAAAGTGTGTGCTGCGGCCTTTTAAACGGGGAGCACAGACTGTTGCATAACGCATAAACCATATACATAAAGAATTTGATTGGTCCATTGACTCATGCATAAGAAAATGGACCAATGAAATTCCTTATGCTCATGCTTTATGCGTTATGCAAAAGTCTGTGCTCCCCGCTTTAGAGCCCCAACACACACTTTTGCATAACGCATAAACCATATACATAAAGAATTTGATTGGTCCATTGATTCATGCATAAGAAAATGGGCCAATGAAATTCCTTATGCACATGCTTTATGCATTATGCAAAAGTGTGTGTTGGGGCTCTTACGGTCAAAATAGCGCTGCAAAACGCTTCGAAATTAGAGTACAGGTACTCTATTCAAAATTAAACTATTGATCAGCATACAACATACGACACGTAATAATGTAATACAAATGCAATTAAATGAATAGAAAAAAGATAATTGTATTAATATGCGTAAACAAGTTTTTGGAATCACACTCCCTTACTTAAATGACGATAAAGATGATTTAATAGCATGTTCTGATTCTACAAAAAATAAACCTTCTAATAAAACAAATTAAGGTCATGTCGAGCGTATAATACCATCGTTTAACAATCAGCATTTTAAATCACATTTTTGGTAAGATTAAGATTTGATAAGATTTTTTTGCTCTTTTTGCATCTGATGTAGTCACATCAATTTACGTGTAACTTTCACTATTGGGATCAAATAAAGAAATTTGGGGCATCTTAATTGTCCTTTATTATTATAATAATCATACACAATAAATATTGTCGCAACTGATCGCCACCACTGATCGCCATACTTTCCCGCGTTCGTAAATTGGAACCGTAAACGCTTCAGGCAGAGAGAAACCTGAAAGAGAACATGACGACCTAAAACCTGTAACCGTAAAATGCTGCCGCGCACTACTGCCCTCTGAAGAAGTGGATGTGAACTACATGCAAGATCCACTATTCTGAGGATAACGCATCTACTTTTCAAGACTGATGGTAAGTAGATATTCGCGGTTCGTATAATCGTATTCGCGCTACATAAAATGTGGATCAAAATAAATATTCTTCTCTGCAATTATATGTATGTTTACTTACATGCGCGTGACGTTTATTATTAAGCTTAAAAGTATTAACATTAAAGTTGTATATTACACCCATTTTTTTTTTTTACAAATGTGTTAAAATATATCGCGCGTGTTTATATTTTAAATAAGTTATATATACATATGTATATATGATCCCGGCAATTGATTGCTTTAATGTACTTTATACTCTTGTACGCGAGTCAGCGCAGCCACACTGTGGGTCGAATTTTTTGACATAAACGGTGAATAAAAAAAGTCGAGAATAGAGCAAAAAATTAGCAAAAACGTAGCCCTTGAAGAATATGTACTTGATTTTTCATTTGCTGCTACTTTTCTTTGTGGCTGTGGCACAGCCACACAGAAAAATAGCATTACACGATAACATTATCGTTACATTATCACGATCGATTTTTGTCTCGATACTAAATTGAACTTTGATAATCATTTTACACATTTTCAACGTCGCATAAAATTTTCGTGAAATCCGCGGAATAAATTGTATAAATATGCCACAGGAACAGAAGGTAAAAACAAATGTCTTTCCCATCATTTTCTGAAGATAGAAAATTGCGGATAGGATTTCGGAAGACATTGGTCCCAAACATTTTCTGATAAAAAGAGCGATTTTAGGTTCTAAACTTGCACGATGTCTGGCGTACTTGTAATAAGATACGAGCCACCGTGTTTCGCATCGGACTTGATCTTTGGGAGTATTACAAGCCTTTGGATCCTAACAAACGTTGTTTGATATCAGGTATAAATATCGTACATTGGCATCGAGACGAGCAATTGCTTTAAGCACTTCTAAAGTTAGTAATTGTTGTGTGGGAATGTGTATTTCTGGACATTCGATACAATAAAATGTATTTTAATTCGGATATTAGTTCCATTATTTGTTTTGCTTATTCCCCCATATTACAGAATGTTTCAAAATTGTTGAACTTTTTTTAATGACAGAACAATGGCATAAATTATATTCTTTGGCTATAACTAGATGCGTTTATATATACATATATAATGTTTATATCTCAAATGTATGATTTTTAAAATTTGTATTAAAGTTATAAACAAACATTTATGCAGAAAGCAATTAATGCAGGAGCAAATAATATTTGAATAAATCTTAATTTCACAGTATACAATTTATTGATTTAAATAGGCAAATATTAGCAGAATTTTAATCTATTTTAAAATTGTGCTACAGTAATGATTGAATAATTTGTGTTATCAAATGTATCTAAAATTTATGATTATTTTACGGTGCATTAAATATAAAATATGTGTGTACGTAATCAATTATTAAATTTGCAGAGTCCAAATTTATCTCCGTTTTGACTGGACCGTTAAAAGGGGTGATTGGCTTATCGGATAGAGAAATATGCGATTTGGCGGATTATTTTCGAATTCAGGACGGTCGAATTCTTTATTCACAGTTCTGTGAAGTTATTCACGATAGTGGTACAAATAATTATTTGTATATAGAAAACATTTATTAATATGATTATTTATATCTTTATGCATATAAAGCTTAATATAAAATGAGATCAGTAAAGCATACAGATTTGCAAAATAATAATAACAATTTCTGCGATATCTCCCGTAGTTCCTGATTTCGGAAAAAACAAGACTTTGGTGACCGGTTTAGAATGGGAGGATCCGCTGCATATAAATGTTCTGAGCGGTACGGAAACGCGAAAATTAAATTTGGTTATCACTCAGATCGCCATATTGGTGAGCAAAAGAAAAATTGATCTTTGGCCATATTTTCAAGATTACGAGCTGGTATGTTTGACATAATTCATCTATGAAAGTATGAACCGTTACGGTTTACGATATTAATGATTACAATTGTAATTTATTCTCTAGTTTTTGTGTTAACTTGAGAGGTAAGCATAATTGTGCTAATATGAATACATTAACAATTTTTAATAATTTAGTTTTGCTTGTGAAGAAAGCATCGTCGATTTTATTTTATTATTTAAAATATTGATTTCATTATGTAAAATTTTATTTACCTCTGAAAAAGTTTATGTTAATTTAACATATTAAAAATAAGGAAAAAGTAATTAAATTGTAAAAAAAATATATTTTTTATTAGTTTAATAAAAATAAATAATATAAAGACGTTTAATAGTTTTTGATTCATTCTAAGATGCTTTGTAGATTGCGAAGAACGTCGGCACAGTCACTCTCGCCCATTTTGGTCGAATTTTAAAATTTCTGGGCATCGTCCTTGGCGCCGAGGAGTTTCGCCTACTCGTAAAGAGATTTGCCAAAAATGCTTATACTGTAAATTATGTAGCGTTTATGAAGTCTGTTGATGAAGTTCAACGTTATTTAGAGGAATATGGAATGGTGGATCTCAGCGGGGTATTGTCAGTTGTAGAATCTTTCTTATTTTTGTTTCTTCATAATTTTTACGTAATAACATTTATAATGCATATATAAGGAGAAATTGGGACAATATGTATTTTTTTAATGTTACATTTCTCAGGAGTTGCTCGATCAATTTCCCGGTCGAATAATTACGGCCGAGCTGCCGAAACTCCCACGACCGGAAATTGGTAAGATCATACCTAGTCAAGTCTTCGATAAGCAAACGGTGTTCCATCCGGTGATGGAACAGACGAGGGAGGCGATGCCTGCGCTAGAAGTCATAAAACGCATCCAGAGGCATATTCTCGAGCGTCGCATACGAATCCATGAGTTCTTCAAGGTTATCGCGTTCAATTTCATTATGTGTATGTCCAATTTCGTTATGTATATGAGAATTTAGCATACGTGATAACATTATCTAATTAATGTTATCACGTATGCTGAATTCTCATATGCGCGCGGATTTATCAACGAGTCATTACGCGTAACGAGCTCGCTCGCTATCACTCCTATCATCATGAGCGTGATATATTCACGGTTTAATCCGTCGATTAAGAACGATTTGGGTTATCATATAGGGTTTCGAATATTTGAATGTCGGTCGAGTGACCATCTCAGAATTTCGGAGATCGCTGGACGCGCTTCAGATTTCGTCTTTGGGCCATCTGTGGCTGATTGAACCAGAAATTGATGCCTTAATCGAGCTTTACAAGGATCCAGATGATCCCGATCGCATATGTTGGCGCATATTCCAGGATGATATAGATGAGGGTACATACGTATCTAAAATAAATGCAAACGTTTTTAGTGATATATCCTGAGAACAGACGCTTTTCTTGCTTTAATTATGTTATCTTTCTCTTAATACGAGATAAAATGTTTTTTTAAATGTATTCTTTATAATAATGTGCAGATTATTTATATAAAAATTATTCACAATTTATTGACAATTAACAATACAATAAGAATGCAATTACAATAATGTACAATTAAAATACGGCAAATGAATTTTTCAAAAAATATTTTTTAAAATAAGATAACCACTTTTTATGTACATGTGAAATAAATAAAAAATATATGTTTTGTAATTTTATTGTGCAAATAAATCCTAATTTAAATAATGTTTGTTTCTAATATATTTTAATATTTTCTTCTTATACGGGTGCCACCGTTCTTACACTTCACCATTGTAACATTTTTATTTTTAGTTTTCACCGTGAAAGGACTTGATAAATTGCCAAATCTAAAAGTGGAATCACCACCTCAAGAAATAGTTGAATTACCTCGAAAGGGTACGTCGAATTGGCAATGCCAGCCGAAAAATATAAGAGATTTTTGTGAAGATATTTTGCAGAGAGTAAAGCAGCGAGTCGAAGAAAGGAGAATTCTCTTGAAGCAATTTTTCAAGGATTACGACAAGTATATTTATTTTTAAATAATCGTTAATGGAATGGTTTATTTTGACGTATATATCTATACAATATTTTAACGACAAATTTAAATAAAAAATTTTTCAATGTATTTAATACAGTAAGTTATAATTAAGTAGTTATTAAGAAACATTTATTTATTGTAACTTTTATTATAATCAGCATATATGATTTATTTAATACGTTTACATATACTTTTGGAAAATAAATATGAGAGTATAATATTTTAAATTAAAATTGCTTGGAAAATAGCCATGGACAAATGTTTAATTTTCGATCAAAACGTATTGTTATTTAAACGAAATATTCTATCAACTATTGTAAAATATGTCATTAATAATACCGTAAGGTATAAATAACTTTTGTACTTAATAAATCAATTATATTGTACATTTGCAGGCACAATTGCGGTCACGTAACGCGAACACAATTCAGACAAGTCCTTACCACAGTGACGATACTCTTGTCTCCGGAGGAAGTGTTTGCTCTGGAAAAAAGATACAACGACGATATGGGTTTTAACTACACTCGATTTCTACAGGAAATAGAACTTCAGCCAATCGTGGAGCCTTTATATTATAGCATGTTGGAGGACAAGAAGAGACTTAACGCTGAAAGACCACCATTTGAACCTCACGAGGATGAGACCAACGTTGTATTGATTTTGGCTAAAATTAAAGCTAAAGTTGTGCGCGAAAGAATTAAAGTAATTTATATTTGTTTTTTATTGATTAAAGAGGAGTGAATCGAATCAGAATTAATTTGCTAATTTTTTTTCCACACGTAGGTTCTTGAATTCATGCGTCAATTTGATAGGCACAACCAGTTTGTCATTTCAAAGATCGATTTTATTAGAGGTCTAGATCAGCTTCGTTGCGGTTTGACAATTGCGGAAATAGACACGATTACAAAACTTTTTCAGGCGCCTCTAAAGTATGGAGATATAATATTGACAATAAGAATCATTAATTTAAGAAAATAAAATCAGTTAATAGAAATAATGAGCATATAAACTAAAAAAAAAAAGAAAAGAAGGTTAAAGCAGATTTCTAGTCAAAATCCCTTAAGCAAATTTTATTTTCCAAGCAATATAGTTGCATTTAAAATACGTTTAATACGTTTAATACGCATTAAAAATAAATTTTAAACGTTTAAACTAAAAAATATGTGTTTAAAATTTGATACGTTTTTAAAATTATTTAATGAATGTTATAAAAATGTATTAAAAGCATTTATCAAATCTATTTATGTCTATTAATAATTTTTTATTATGTTAAAGTATGTTTTTATACATCATAAAACATATGAGTAGACGCATTTCAAGCGTTCATTGAACATGTTTAAATATTTCAGTTAATATTAATTTTCTTTATAGAGAAATCGTTTAATTTTATAAAATTGTAATTATATCGTCATATATTTCTTTTTTAACTAACATTCTTATTTCGCGATTATCATGTTTCTTTTTGAAGATCTGATTTTGTTGAGTACACCAAATTCGCGGCAATTGTGGAAGAAGCCGTAGCGACCGGGTGTTTGGAAAAAGTTCCTCTTGTGGTTCCCCTACAACATGTGCCTTCCGAGGCGAGTAGCAGAACGTTCCTGAATTTTGACGAGCGACAGAAGGTATCCATCGCGATGGATAAACTGTGCCGAGTGCAGAGTCCAAATCTGGAGGAGATTTTCAAAGTGAGTACAGCTGTGATTAGGGTATGTTATGTTATACACAATACAATTATTTAAGAGATAATTATTTATTATTTAAAATGTTTTCTTTTTTTCTTTTTTGCGAGGAAAAAAACAATAAAAAAAAAACTTAGTAAATGCACATTCTTTAGGATTATGATAAAGAGAATACCGGCACGGTTTCCAAAGGACGCTTAGTCAGAACATTGTCTGTTAGACGAATGCTAGAGCTCATCAATAACAACGAGTTGGATGCTGTACACAAATGTTTCTCCATTGAGAAAAACGGCCGCTTGGAATTCAATTATCGAGCCTTCTTATGCGCTTTGCATCTGTTACAAGAAAACAAAAAGAGTTTGTGCTTATAAAAAGCGAGGATGACCTGGGTGCAAATTCAGAAACTAAGAATATGTTTTTATCTGTTATATCATAATGTTGTATATTACTTTGAACAGTTTAATACAGTGAAATCGTAATAAAAGATATTTTATGTTTTACTGTCCTTTGTATTTATATGTTAAATTGTGAGAAATAAATAGAAAGAAACAATTGTACAATTTTCAATATTTTATACATTAATTTTATTAATTTTAGATATTTTATGTAAAGAGAGAGAGAGAGAGAGAGAGAGAGAGAGAGAGAGAG